ATTGACGTGATTTGTCTCTTTGATGAGTCCGTAGATTGGTACGAAGACTGGCAAAACTGACTGATGATGCCGGTGAAATTTTTGAGAATGTACCAAGTCCACTGTCTGATGCTGGGAAATATGGCAACTACTATGGCAGGCGACTTCGGACTAGGTACGTTTTACTAAGTCGCCATGACAGCAAGACCAAGTTGCGACACCGAGGTCAAACTACTCTCTATGTTTATTTATTTGTAGTTATTAGTTATTAAGTAATAATCAATATGTATTATTATTAAATTTTGGTTTTTATCATTTATTGATAATTAATTATAATAGATTAAGTTAAGTAATTAATTTATTAATTAAGTTAAGTGACATTAAAATAATCCTAAGGCCAGATTAATAGATCAACAGAGTATTAAAGAGGAGGATCATTTGGTTACTTTTGATGTTTTTTCAATGTATACTAACTTCCCAGTTCAGAAAGCTGTATCAAGTCCATTGTCAGATGTTGGGACTCATGACAACAACTCTGGTAGACGAATTCGGACTAGGTGCGTTCTACACAGTCGCCCTGACAACAAGACCAAGTTGCGCCAACGAGGTGAACCCACTTCTATAAATGGAAGGGAGACATTTTGGTCTTCATATATTCTATTAAACTGGGTTTTTATGAACTTCACGAGGCAGCGTCGATGGGATAAGCGAGCAATGTACCGAAGGGCCTGTCCCGACAGCCGCTCCTGCTGAAGCGAATTGAAGGAGTCTGTAGAAGGGTCCAGCTCGTCCATGTCGCGGTCCGCGAGAAGCGTGGAGCGGTTGTAATCGACAAAGGACCCTCGGAGGCGGCAAACTCCTTCCAGCCAAATCTGGCTGCGTGTTTCCGACTGTTCAGCCAGCGCGGATCTCCGGTTTTACGGCAAAAAGTGTATCGCCTGGCCACATGCGACGGTTGAGCTGACTTCTCTTGCGATTGAAAGCGTCTGGGGAAAAGATGCAATGCTCGCTGGCACCAGAAACGACGCCCGATTACTCCTGACCAGCTGTCCATTTGCTGTACCTCAACATTCCTGCTGATGCTGTCTCTGGCCGAGGCAGTCTGTTCGATTCCAGTGAAAATGTAACAGGATTTCGTCCCTCCAATGCCGGACATCATCAGAGCAGGTCGTCATTCTCCCAACTAATCAAGGAGCCTCAATATTGTACCCCTAAAGGCTGTATTCATACCCTAGACCCATGCGATTTGATTCATCAAAGTTATGCGTCAATCCAGAAGTATGTTTGTGTGTTCATGTCGATACACGACTTTAACTAATCAACTCACTCAACACCTCATCAAAATGCATAGATTGTGAGTATAGATACAGGAATTAGAGATAGACCAGTGAGTTTGTGTGGGTCGTTGGCTTGAACATGTTTGTGAGTATGTCGACCTGTTTGAGGATACGCATCATATGGCGGACGAAGCCCAAATTCGGATCATGTACACCCAAAATATATGCATTACAAGTGATTTAGTTGATGTCTTATATTGACGGAAACACACGAACATTCGTCTTGATTGACATGACATAACTTTGGACTTTTCTGTGAATATTTTCGCCGAACACTTTCACTCGAAATTGTAAGTTGAAGATGTCTCGAGACCCAAATGCTATTCGCATAGCCCAACTTTGTTAAAACTCTTTCGCCAATTCAGTGCTACTTCCTTGCCATCGGAAATGGATCCGGTAGCTCAGACAATGTTGATCTCCACATTTTACACGATCAACTCAACTGCGTACCAAATCATACAAGTTCAGCCTAATCATATACTACTCGCAAGTAGACAGCAATGCTTTAATGTGCTCCAATTTTCCTAATGACAATAGAAATTATGACAGACTGTGTCTACTCACCTTGTGCCATGTTCGCGCGTATAAACGATAAAATAAACAGCAGAATTGTGCCAGTGGACATCATTTTCTGCTTTTGTGTCTTTCTCGATTTCTGTTTCAAACGAACACATTTGGAAAAAGGACAATGTAACAGAATATAAAAATGGATAAGCAACAGTGTTAAAGATATGAGAAAAAAAAGATGTCACGGCCACAATGTCAGCCACAGTCCCCTTTCGACACATACAATAGATCGTTTTCCCACCTTCTTTCTTCTTTCGGATCTTCCACTTTGCGTGTTCAAAGCATTCTATCCGGCGTCTTCACTGAGCCTTGACGGTCTTGACTCCAACCCAGTCGAGGCGGCACTTGGAGTCCAGCCCTCGACTAACTCACAGCTTTCCCGGTACATTCACCCATACCGTAGAGCTGTATCTTCAGATCTCATCTTCTCTCTTGCACACTTTTTTACTCGTCAGCTTGGCCGATCTCTCGACATTCATGCCTTTGCTGAGCCGTTGATGTGCCTGCTTCTGGAGCGCATTTTTATTCACATTTCGCTAATCTTCTTCCGTCAACAGTCGGCACAAATGAGCAAAGCTGTTGACATTCGGGCAGCAAGCAAGCAAATGGACAGAAGGAAGAGTTGGACAAAAGTGTACTTGTTGGCTAGACAGATTAGGAGAAACTGGGCCTCGATTGGAAAAGCAAAAATGGATATGACGGGATCACGGATGTGCATTTGAAGAGGAAGAAGATGAGGAAGAGCAGTGAAAAGAAAAAGAAGAAGGAGATGAAGAAAAGGGAGTGCAACAAAGAGTTCTTGTAATTGGAAATCAGCAGAGTCGCATCAAACCAAGGCAACTTCTACAACATTTTGGGGCTTGGCACAAAAGGGAACAGGGAATAGAGAAAATAACGGTCAAAAGTGGGTTGACTTCGTTGTCGCAACTTGTTCTTGTTGTCATGGCGACTTAGTAGAACGCATCTAGTCCGAAGTCGTCTGCCATAGCAGTTGTCATGAGTCCCAGCATAAGACAGTAGACTTGGTACATTCTCAGACATTTCGCCGGCATCATCAGTCAGTTTTGCCATTCTCGTCAAAGAGATAGATCAAGTCAATCGCTCGACAAACGTTCACTCCTCTTTCTGTCCTCGTCTATCTATCTACTCTTTACCCTCTTATCCACTTCTCACTTGTTTCACATTCCACTCGTCAAAATGTGTGCCCTCATCACACCCGCTGCATTCCCCTATCCCCCCTCTCTTTCGATCGGCTGATCCGACTCGGGCCTCCGATCCGGATCACCTCATTGTCTCGTAGATTGACTTGATTTATCTCTTTGACGAGAATGGCAAAACTGACTGATGATGCCGGCGAAACTTTTAAGAATGTACCAAGTCGACTGTCTGATGCTGGGAATCATGACAACTGCTATGGCGGACGACTTCGGACTAGATGCGTTCTACTAAGTCGCCATGACAACAAGACCATGTTGCGACAACGAGGTCAACCCACTTTTATAAATCGCAAGGAGACTGCGACCACACCAGAGGCCACAACATTTCGGTATTCATATCTTTAATATACAGTCATTATATTTAATATACATTTACATTTATGGACGATGGTAGAATGGTTTTGAAGATGTGAAGACTAAGATGTTGTAGCCTGTGTTAGGGTCGCAGTCTACTG